GAGAAGTCCTCCCGTGATAACTACAGAGGAATCAGCCTGACGAACGTACTGTCCAAGATCCTAGAATCTATAATTCCCCAACACCTGAGTGGAGATAGGGAACAGCAAGCACGAGAAAACTAGAGAGGTTCTAGACCCAACCGTGGGTGCATCGACCAAATATTCACACTGCGTCGGGTTCTGGAACACAGGCGCGCTTACCGACGCCCGACAATAGCTGTATTTGTCAACCTGAAGGCGGCATTCGACCCGTTAATCGAGAAGTCTTATGGCAATGTCTTTCACTGAAAGGTATGCCGAGTAGGTACATCACATCACATTATTGAAGACTGTCTACTCGAACACTTGTGAGCGTGTTAGAGCTGATGGTGAGATGTCGGGGGAGCTGTATTCGTCGAGTGGTGTCTGTCAAGGGTGCCCACTTTCTCTATTCCTTTTGAATTTTATCATAGATATTCTTATGGAGGTCTCCCTCTTGTCACTTGACTACACAAAGGTTGACCTTATCGCAGGATAATTTTCGTTGGACCTAAGAAACACCGATAACATAGTCGTGTTAGGTGAAGACACCGACAAGCTGCAGAGTCTTCTGAATACTTTGAATGGCAATTTGAGAATGTTTCGAATGCATTTCTCACCACCCAAATGCAAATTGTTGCTCCACGATTGGTCTTCAACGGTGCCACAGGTAACAGTAGAGAGTGAAATGATTTAGTGTGTCGACCACTTCACTTACCTGGGAAGCAGGATCATACCTGCCCTAGTGGGTCAGTGGCCGATGAAATCTCTCCACGAATACAAAAGGCTCGATTAGCTTTGGCCAACTTACGCGACCTATGGCGTTACCGTGATATCTGATTGTCTATTAAGGGTCGCGTGTACTGCACAGCAGTCTGCTCTGTTCTACTTTGTATGGTTGTGAAACATGGCCATTGAATGTGGAAGACATGAGAAGGTGGCTTGAGGTGTTTGACCACCTTTGCCTTCGTAGTTTAGGCCGTATTCCATAGTGTCACGACTTGAGTAATGCAGAAGTGAGGTGTAGAGTTTTAGGGAGGGGGAAGAGGTAAGTGAGTTGACGAGGTTGTGAAGCTTCATCGACTGAATGGCTGTCTGGGACATGTGTTATGTATGCGTAGTGGGTTATGTGACTCGTCACAGACTATTGGCGAAGTAGGTTCAGGCTGTAGAAAGGCTGTAGGTGGCCAGAGTAAAACATGGCCTCAATGTGTATGGAGTGTGTGACTGTTAGTTTGAGCCATGTGGGACGATGAAGACTGGTTGGTTGGGATGTGGGGGAGAAGAGAAATGAGTGGTTGTATACTGACTGTAGGTGATGACATGGCTGAGAACCGATATCAGTAGTTCAGATGTATCCCCACAGATATTATGCTCATCTCTCACAAGGCTATATCGAATCTCACCATCTTGTCATTCCTCCTTTCCTCTTTCTCGTACTTTATATTTCTTGTGACTGCATTCTCTTATCTTCATCTTCCAGTTCACTGTCTATCTTTTTACTTGATGTAGTGTGATATGAGTTGTGGCAAGTTGAACCTTTACGCAGTAACGTCTGGTCCTTTGTTGATATTGATGATGATGATGACGACATGACCATTAAATATCATAACATTGTATTAGATCTTTGAGAAATACTCACCTCTTCAACACTATGCTTCCAAGTTAAGATGGGTTTTCATTCCATTTTAATGGGGTTTTTTTTGTATATATGACTAATGTAGAACTAATATTCTTATACAAATCATAACCCCTATGGAACCGAGGATTTTTCAAATGTTTAGGTAAATATCTACCGTCCATTAACTAACATGGTTAATAGATCGTTTTCAGAAAAAAACTGTACTAGCATCCTATTTTTTATAATCATTATTTTTCCCTTGGGTTCCTAGTGGAACATAGGGCTTCCGTAGCATCTCTCCATTGCACTCTGTTCTCAACAGTCTTTTGAACCTGGTGCCAGGACTGCCCATAACCTTTCATTTCTTCCTCACACCATCTCCACCATGTCACTCTCACCTCGGACGCCCAACTCGTCGTTTCCCATTTGGATTCCACTCGATGGCCTGACGCATGATGTCCCCAGTCAGCCTTCTCAGTGTATGCTCAACCAATCTTCACTTTCTTCATATGCATATTTGCTGGGTGATAGGTTCTTGGTTGTTTCGTTCTCGGAGTGAGTTTCTTGTTGCTTATTCTTTCTAGCCATTTGATCTCCAGTATCGAGCGTAGGTAGCTGTTGATGAATGTCTGCAGTTTGTTGGGAATTCCTTTCGTGACGCGCCAAGTTTCTGAACCATAAAGCAGCACTGGCTTGACTGAATTGGTGTTGAAAATCCGGATCTTGTTCTTTGTGCTGAATGGAGTGCAGTCGATCTCCACGCTGGTTTCAGACTAATGAAGGCCTGTCTTGCTGTCTTTCCGATCCTGGCTTTAACGTCCTCATCTGTGACACCTGTAGCTAAAATGATGCTGCCTGGGTAGGTGAAAGTGACGACTTCCTTCACATTTCTCCCCTGATGGTGATTGGTGCTTGTTGTTGGTGGTGACGGTGGTGGCGGTTGGGTATCTTCATTACCTCCGTCTTCTCTACATTCACTTGAAGTCCCGTCTTCGCTGTCTCTTCTGTCAGTAGACATTAGACATAAGTCATCGACGAAATCCAAATCTTCTAGGTTTTTCTCACCGGTCAAACAGCTTATCCCCATCTTCTCGCTCCTCACGGTTTGCTGCATGATCCAGTTCATCACAATCAGGAAGATCATCGGTGACAGTAGACAGCCTTGTCTTACTCCTGTCTTCACTTCAGAGGCGTCAATGAGCTTTCCATTGTGAATCACTCGGCATGTGGCCTTTTCATTTAGCTGTTGAATGAGGTTGATAAAGGTTTGTGGCACTGAAACCGTAGTGTTGAAGCAGCTGTCAAATGACTTCTGGGTGGACGCCTTGATCAAAGGCCTTTCGAAAGTCGATGAAGTTGAAGTGAAGAGTTGACTGCCATTGTATGCTCTGTTCTACGATGATGCATAGCGTTGCAGTTTGATCCGCACATGATTTGTTTTTCCTGAAGCCAGCCAGCCTCTCCCGGTCGTAATTTTAAATCCAGTACGTCTTTTAGTCGACCCATGATGAGTTCCTTCCTTTGTTGTCCCCTCCCAGTTTGGGATTCATATCGCCCATTATAATTTTGATGGCACCAACTGGAGTCTTGTCTATTACTGATTGCAGTTGTCTGTAGAATTCCTCCTTCTCTTGATCTTCGTCTGCATTATTTGTAGATGCGTAGCTTAGCATTGTATGACTGTGACTTTCTTTCCTTTTGAGTTGAATTTTGCTGTCATGATGCTGATGGTGGATGAGATTGGTTCCCACTGCATGAGAGCCTCCTGTTCTATTGATGGTTGTTAATTAGAGACTTACAAGTTCTTTTTCAAACCTTTCTTACTAATTTCCAACTTTCAGTATTAGAAAGCTGAGAGTATCCGATATAACTCAGCCTATTCTCCTATACTGCTTCCTTTTATTCATTGCTTGGTTACTGAGAAATAACTATGTTGTAATGCCGTAGAGCTCTGAAGATTGTCAGTGGAACTAGTGGTGTACTTTTTAACCTTCTAATTAAAACTGTTGTGGACTAATATATTAACTCATCTAAACATCTGGTAGGAGTTATTTTATCCAATGACTAACATCCCCTTCACTCAAAGTTGTCTGAATGTCGGTCATCTGGATAGACAAGGAGCAAGTCACATAAGACTCTATGCACCCACTACAAAATATTTAAACTTTACGATACCGCCGGTATTTACCTTGTCTCCTGTGTGATGAAGAAAGTATTATTAATGAAGTAACACTAATCAACTTCTGATTTTGAGAGCAAACTAACTAGTGAGTACATAGCTTGTTATTATTTATGTATTATGAATCTAATTGTTAGTGTGACGCGTGATGCCCTCAAACCATCTTCTCACTCCATGTCCAATCCAATCCTTCTTCTGCAGATTTGTTGGGCGATAGCTTCCTGCTTCTTCCTTGGTTGGTTCCTTGCCAATCCACACTTCCTCATTGCTTATCATCTCATCTGATCTTCAGTATGGAGTGAGCGTAGGCGGCAGCTGTTGATGTATGTGTGGAGTTTGTTGTAAATGCTTTTCGTAATGTGTCAAGTCTCTCAACCATCATCATATAGAAGCATTGACATGACTCACATTATTGTTGAAAATCCGTGTCTTGTTCACTAATTTCATTTTGCTATGTATACATGTACACTGTCACTATCCAACTGATGCTATATGACATGCTGAAAATTCTGTTCAGTATTCTTGAAATAGCTTTGTAGAATAAAGGCATTATTATTTAAAGAGAGATATGTTCCAATGCTGTTGAAGGGGACATCATGATGACCAATCCCTGAATGTGCTTGTGATTGTCGTGTGTGTGTGTGTGTGTGACAATATCGGAGTAGATTAGATTATTGATTACTGTGCAGTTGACAGTTTGAAGAGTCAACTTCCTCCATTCCATCTACTTTCGCAGATTCTTAACTTAGCACTTTCTATGCCATATCTTCTCATCTCTTTAGCAATCTGGATAGCCTTACTAGATTCAAAGATTGTTTGGACATTCCATGTTCCCATACTTACTTTTAATTTTATCGAGTGAGAGAATACATATTGGCCAATTAGCTTGGCAATGTTTTCTCTTTATCCGGGTTTAGGAACGTCTAGTAAACTATTGAAGTAGTAAAGTAAGCGAGGTTTGTTCTTTGATACACCGGTAGAATTGGTACTTATTTCATTTTGCTATGTATACCATGAACACTGTGTCTATCCAATTGATACTATATAAATGACATGCTGGAAATTATGTAGAGTATTCTTGAAATATCTTTGTAGAATAAAGGAATTATTATATAAAATTCTATAAAATATATTTTCTTGATATGTTTTTATTATTGATTTTAATTTTTCCCATATTTTCAGGTCATATGGTGTACTTTTATGGGAGTTATTAACTGGTGAAATCCCATATCATAATGTAGATTCAACTGCAATTCTATGGGGTGTTGGTAGTGAACACCTTCGGTTACCAGTTCCAATGACATGTCCTTCTGAATTACGTGCTCTTATGAAAACATGCTGGTAAGTAAGCATAATACTATTTTATTAACCAAAAAAAAAAAAAAAAAAAAATACAATCACCTCTTACTGTCTATGAACATGTATTGCATAGTGTAGTGATCCGCATGTAAACTTAAGAACATGTAATTTTCATGTCATTTATTTATTTATTTATCCCTTAGGTTCCTAGTGGAACATAGAGCTTCAGTAGCATCTGTCCATTGTACTATGTTCTCTACAGTCTTTTGAACCTGGTGCCAGGACTGCCCATTACCTTTCATTTCTGCGTCACACAATCTCCTCCATGTGACCCCATTGGATTCCACTCGAGGGCCTGGCCTGAAGCGTGATGTCCACGAATGGTTTTCTCAGTGTATACCCAATCTATCTCCATTTCCTTCCAGTGCATATTTGTTGAGTGATAGGTTCCTGGTTCGTTGGTTGGTTGGTTGGTTGGTTCGTTCCTAGGCCACACTTCCTCCTTGCTTATTCTTTCTCGCCTTCTCATCTCATCTTCAGTATGGAGAGAACACAGACGACAGCTGCTGATGATGTATGTCTGCATTTGGTTGGAAGGAAATGGTTTTTGTAAAGCGCCAAGTCTCTCAACCATCATTACATAAAAGCATTGACTTGACTGACTGACTAAGTGTTGAAAATCTGAATCTTGTTCACGCTTAATGCTGAGTGAAGTGCAGTGCACTGCAGTAGACCTACACACTGATCTCCATAGATTCATGGAGGCTTATCTTGCTGTCTTTCGGACTCTGGCTTTCACATCGTCATGTGTGCCGCTGCCATCGCTGCTTGTAGTTGAAACCATTCTATCTGGGTAGATGTGTTAGAGAGACGACTTCCTTTAGATTTCTCGCGTTGATGGTGATTGGTGCTTGCTGTTGTTTGTTGGTTGGGTATCTTCATCACCTCTTCGTTGTCTAGGTTCTCCGAAAGGAAGTGGCGTCTTCGCTGCCCTGCCTCCTATACCAATTTGTTAGTTGTCGCCTGTAGATCTTCGAGTTTATGAGACACCAGACATTAGATATAAATCATCGTGGGTGAAATCGAAATGTTCTAGGATCTTTTCATACGTGAAATAGCGTATACCCGTCTTTTCGATCTTCACAGTTTCTTGCACGATCCAATTCAGTCCAATCGAGTTGACCACAATGAGGAAGACGGTCGGTGATAGTAGGCGGCAACCTTGTCCTACCTATCAACCTGTCTTCACTTGAAAGGCATCACTCAACTTCTCATTGTGTCTACATATAAATTTGTATTTTTGATCCCGACCGATAGCTGCTACCTTGACGTAGTGGTCGGGCTTGCAAATCACAATGACCCAACGAGCTATGCTGGTGGAACGCTTGTTCCCTCGAGGTCCTACCATACCAGAAAGGTCTGTTGGATAGTGGTTAGACGAAAAGCAGTTACCGTTATAGTGTAAATTGCTACACTATGACGGAGGTCTGAGGGCGAAGTCGTACTGCTGCTAGCTGGATGGGGTGTGACAGCAGTAAGGTGTTCCCCTTGGATGACCAGCAGTGCCATGCTGATACTGCCTTCTCAGTGGAAGGGGCCAGGGGTTAGAAAAGGTCGGCCCCAAAAATAACACACTCCACCACGCCCCACGGTCTGCCGGGTCAGCGGTGTTGGTTCACTTGTCGTTTCCTTTCGACCATCCGGCCCCAAAAATACAAAAGTTCAAAATAATCATACTCAAAAGGCTGGGTGTGACAGGCTTCAAGCAGACGTCCGATGGGCTCTGCGGTCACACAAATCTCTTTCAGGTACCTTAAGAACAAATAGCCTTCCACGGTGTGGGCAGCCGGGAAGTGTCAACCGCCCTCACAACTCTGTCAGCACCCAAGTTTCTTCTGACTGCTATCCTCCTCCATCATTACCTCCTAATCTCCCTTCACGTCTCTTAATTAATGATGCTACATCATCTTCAATTTCTCCTACCTCTGCAGCCTTCGACAACTATCTGAGTCTGTGGCAACTCGGACCGTTACGTAGTAATGCCTGGTCCTATGTTGATAATGATGGTGATGATGATGTATTTTTGATCGCGTCAACGATATAATGATGCAGTGCGCGGAGATAAAAAGCTTCATACATTTTTATTCACTAAACCTCCTAGTTTTTACTTATGCGAAAAAATGTTTATATTTGTAGATTTAATCACACTGAACATAAAATATTAAACTTTGTGTATCCGCTATGCACCATAAAATCGTCATCACCCTTTATAATCTAACCCATATATGGTTTAGAATCAACAACAATTGTACCATCTGTAAACTAGTGATCGAATCTTGCTTAGCGGTAGGTAGGATTGGAACGCAGAATCTGCGTTTCTTCCTATCTATGAATTATCACCTCGATGAATCTGGAGAACCCAGCGTTCTGGATTCCACTGCTAACCACCACTAAAGCAAATGATAACATCATGAATAATCAGGCAATTTTGAGGTATTCACAAAGGGACTCATTTATCAACAGTGAGTGATCAATTCGATCCAGAATAACAACATGGAACTACAAGTATCAATAAATAATCATGGTGATTGAACCGCCTAACTTGATACTAAAAACAAAGGACCTGACAAAGATGTTTATGGACGCAAGTTGCGGCACCTCAGATCAGTACGTGGATGAGAAAGCCAATGAAGTGAAGGTAATTATATCTGGCACAATACAAAAAAAAAACACTATTTGATGAGGAAAAATTGAACCAAAAGGAATACAGATTTGTGGTAATACGAAGTAAATGATATGGTGTGCCATTGTCATCGATTTTGAACCATATTACATGACATGTACAATTTCAGTTGTCTTACAGACATCAAACCGACAACTTAAATGATTTTGATCAGCAGTGAAAGACTTTGTAGCTCATTGCCATGTTCTTGTTCTAATTACCTTTGACTTTTTTCTTAAATTAATCTAACTTGTAGATAACACAGCATAATCGGTCAGATAATGCATATCACTACCAACTAAGGTTGACCATAGTTGTTCATAACCTCTTGGTTTAATTCACTTCATTTACTGAATACTGTACATCTATCTAGGCTTGAAATTCACCATACTGATTCCCGCAGTATGTGAAAGATCCTGAAAAAGTGAACATGATGAAAACATGTAACCATTTTTACTACTCGACTTTCATTGGTTATATTCCAACTAAACTTAACTGCTTGGTAATTTAACATTGTTACAATTACACGTATCTTCCTTTGTGTAGGGCTGACTAATTTGTTTGTATGTTTATTTTTTGAATTGAAACCGTTAGTTGAAAAACTCTTCTTCTGCATAACAATATAAACTGATAAACCCTGTAAATGTATCGATAATCACCTACTGAATAGGATTTTAAAGTCGTTCTATTCCTGAAGTGAAATCATCCAGATTTACATTGCAGGATCATATAACATTGGTTAAGTGTTTAATTATGTTTAGTAATGATGGGCACTAGGTTACAGTGGAATCCAAGATGCGCATTTCGTCCTATTTGGGACTCATCAGTCAGCTAATTGTACCTGCCTCCCAGTGAGGGATGTTGTTCCCACCGGGATTCGGACTCAGGAGCGAGAGCGTTATCCACTACACCACCAAGTCATGATAGCCACTTCTTGTAAGACGGGTATAGTTTTTAGTATATAATTGTTTTTTATATCATACCGTCGTTGATTGGACCGAAATGATCAGTCTCTGTTGGCATATGAGCTCCTGTGCGGATGCCTCGATATTGCCTGTGTTTTAATTATGTAAAGTAATGACGGATGGTGGGTAGCAGTGGAATCCAGGATGCACATTTCGTTCTATTTGGGACTCACTGGTCAGCTGGATGTACCTGCCTCCCAGTGAGTGATATTGTTCTCATCGGGACTCAGGAGCGATCGCTTCAAACGCCAAAGCGTTATCCACTATACCACCGAGCCACGATAGCCGCTTCTCATGCGACGGGTATAGCTTTAGTATTACACCGTCATTGATTGAACCGAATTGATCAGTCTCTGTTGGCATATGAGCACCTGTGCCGATGCCTCGATATTGCCTGTGTTTTAATTATGTATAGTAATGATGGGCAGTGGCTAGTAGTGGAATCAACGATGGTGTAATACAAGCAATAACACTAAAAGTATACCCTTCGCACAAGAATTGGTTATCGTGGCTCGGTGGGAACAACATCACTCACCAGGAGGCAGGTACATCCAGCTGACTAGTGAGTCCCAAATAGAACGAAATGTGCATCCTGGATTCCACTGCTAGCCACTGCCCATCATTACTATATATAAGGAAATGATTTCATCTGATAGTTGTGTAAAAGGATTTCGTGGAACAAACAGGATGATATGCCCTGATTGAGTAAATAGTAAAAATTCTGTTTCATATAAAAGTAACCTTCAGGTTACTTGTTCAAGATTGTTAACGTTAACTTTTGTTGTTCATTTATTGGTTACTAAACAAACATTGTAGTAAAGAAAATTCTCGGAAGTATCATAGATAAAACTTGAGCAGAAATCTAACGAGGTTTGGCATGCATTTTTCACCTATCAAATGTAAAATATTGTTGACTTACCATTAAGGAATGAACTGGTAGGATACTTTCACCACTTCACTTACTAAGGGAATTACATCAGTTCGAATGAATTGCTTCCTTATGAAATCTCAGCTCGCATACAGACGGTCCGCTTGGCATTTGTCAACTTACTTCATCACTAGGAACGGCGAGATATCCAACTACTTGTACTGCGCTGCAGTCCGTTTTGTCCTGTGAGACGACTATTGGAAATAGGTATGAAAAGATTGCAGGTTTTCAAAAACACGAGTTTTCGTAGCATTGTTTGTGTATGGTTAAATCACCGTATCAGCATTATCAAGGTTAGACGAGGGGAGTTTGGCAAGAGAAGCAAATCAGTTGATAAGGTTGTGAACCTTCACCGACTGAGATATGATTGTTGTAACGCTGGACAAAGGGATGAGCATGTTATTTTTGAGGCCAATTTTTTCTAACC